TTCTGACACTTTCCTTTCACACAGAAGTCAAAGCCCAGAGTAAAGCAAAGGGCTTCTTAAAATAGAAAGTTTACACTAAACTGCTTAGAATAAAACCCACCACTTAGATTGCAAATGCTGAAAGCACATTCATTTATATAAAGGCACTTTGACACACATACGTGGAGTGTAACTGCCATGGATTATTCAAGGTTTCATAAATGTTCTCTTTAAAATGCTTTTACTGCTGGTATTTTCTGATTTCAGCAGTCTTTCTATCCCAAATACCTCTGTGCTCATTATCCAGAACGTTTAGGTGTGATCACAGCAAAAGATCACCATGTTTTATTTGGTTAGAGCCTTCAAAATGAAATACATATGTTTTTAATTAACACACATCGAGCCAAATTTAGCTCTCACATTCCACTTTCTGTCACTCCAAAGGTTGAGGACACCCATTTCAGAAAAATACGTAGGACAACCCTGAAGTATTTTTTTTTTTAAAAGCTTTATAAATCTTATAAATGAAAGCTGACAGGTCACACAAGAAAAAATACCGAGATCAAACCTTTGAGCGCAGAAAATGAGAAGAATTATGAAATGAAATGCTATCACCTCATCCTTTATGCTCTCAGCTGTGCCTATGGACCAAAGACAGCTTCAGACTGAAGTAGCTTCCCACATACCTCACGACAGCTTAAAACATGCATGAAGCCCAAATGATTAATGCATATACCATATCCTATAGAACAGACTACAGATATATGTCATATTTCCGATAGCATTGTAATATTATACTGCAACTGCTTTACCTTTAGCTTAAGAGTTGCTCAGAAACCTGCAACCCTCCAGCTCCATTCCCCGCATCTTTGCGTGCAAAGTTCTGGTACAGATAACTGTCGACTACGGAATAAATTGCTTCCCTGTGGTCACACAAGTGCTGACCAGACCAGAGCTCCAGGTAACTGGGAGCTGTTAATAGTGTATGGGAGCTCTCATTTCAACAGGAATAGCCAGGCTGTGCACAAACACGCTTTCCAGTTAGGAACAGCAATTCCAGGCAGACAGTACAGTACTTTTTAGAATGAGGTTTGACATGCAGGGCAATACCTTCTCCTCTCAGACCTCATTCAGTGTCAAGACCAAGGAAGATGGGACAGGCCTGTACTGAGTCTGGTAAGTTCAGATTACAGAGTTAAAATATGTGATTTTACTGCTTTTTTACAAAGGAGTCACAAGACGTTAAGTCTCTGCTGTTGGTCATTTAGGATCACAAACACTCCACTCTTGCTGCTCAAATAACAGCCCACAAGTACTGCAATGGGATTAGAAGCGCCCCGCAAAATAATCGCACAGATGTGAAATGAAACATCTACTAGCTAGGTGTACTCCAAATCTTAAAACAAACTAGGTTCCACCAACATGACAGAGTATGCTAACTACATGATTTGGGGATACAAATCGAAAATAACATCCTTTCATATTACCCATCAGAGTTTAGGGCCGGGTTTCCACGCCACTTGAACTCACATTTTCACAGTTTCAACATTCCTTACAACAGATGCAAAAGATCAGGATTTTCCTCACAGCTCAACATGCAGTTCCCCATCTAAACTCGGTTGGCAGGTTTGTGTGTGCAGGTATACACAGAACATGCAAATTAAGATTTACACATTACTTTCACAATAACAAGTGATCCCGGTCAGCACTTTTACCACTTCCACATTAACTGCTCTTCTCCACGACTTTCAAGTAGCTGACAAATTCAAAGCACAAAAAACCCAAAATGATTCAGCCTCGCTGTGAAGATGAAGTATTTTCCTGAAGTTAGAGGCCTCTTCCTCAGAGCAAAGCTGTCAAGAGTTTTACCTCTGAGCAAGGTCAGACGAATGTCAGAATTAAACCTCATGCTTGCATGAAATTATATAAATATGAAAGAAGAGAGGTTTGACAACTTACTGGTGAGAGAAGTCCTCTGCAAAAATGACTCTATCAAGTGTAGAACAGGCAAAGCTCCAGTAAGTCAATAAACAGACTCCCAGATCACCAGCTGCCCTCTCCAGCATCTTGTGGCTCAAGTCCAAATTGTAGATAGTTTAAATAGTGTGCACAAAGGATGCCAGTCAACTGGGGTTTAAAGTAACAACTGCTTTCATTGCACTGTTAATGACATGGCCAAGTTCTTAACAAAACTATTTCGACAAAAAAAAATAATAATATCAGAAATCCCACCACGTTGGGAGCAGTAAAACCATATCTTTGTTTGTGGAGGAGTTTTAAAATATATACTTAAAACTTTATATCGCCTTCCTATATAAGGAGTGAGTGGACTGATGAACACCAGGAGTGTGAGTAAGAAGGCACACCTTTAAGAAGTCTGGTTCCACACTTCACACTACGTACAGCCAGGTCAATTTTAGACAGAAAGAACTGAATGGAGAAAGAAATACAGTATTTAACAGAAGTTTTGTAAGACCAACTTTTATAACTTACGTATTACACATCTTCACACAGTTGCCACACACTCATCGTATTAATCGTTTTAAAGTCATTAAAAAGAGAAGTCTCTACACTTACCACTTTGGGGTTGGCCAGCCCTGCCAAGCACATGCACTTCACTGACAGTAATTGGGATTTACCCCTACTGAGCGGGTTATCTGAACTGAAGGCGCTCTGCAAGTTAATCGCGACAGGTAAACGGATCCATGTGACAAATGAGGACAGCACCCGGCACAGAGCTCGCTGTTTCCTCCACCTCACAGGCAGATCCAACAACAAGTGGTCAGTTCCACCGATGTCAACACAACTTCTCAAAGCTGCTTATAAAATGGAAACACATCAACTCCATTCAAGACAATTAACTAAAGCAAAATCCTCACCTGCTTCAGTGCTTGACTTGAAATCTAAGTGTAAAGGTCCGAAAATGGGTTTGCAACTATGATGCTAATTTCCTTCATGAAACCATCTCAAAGCACACAGAAGAAACAACACAGAGCACACTACAGAAACTCTGCTAAATCTAGAAAAAGATATTTCTACAGCACAGTAGGAGGTTTGAACTTTGTTTTTAACCGTTTCATTTGCTGTATTTCATTCATTTCAATATCGTTGTATCCGCTTGTCTTTCAAAATAACAAAAAAGTTGTGACTATCTTAAAAAAAAAAAATTATTTTCAATTAGTGAAGATATACAGCTCTTAAAAGCTAGGCATGTTTATTGGGTACCTTTCTAAAATGCACCAGTAACAATATCAAAAAAATACCCTTATGATCTTTCTTAACTGATAATTTGTTACCATTAAACACGTGCAAACTCAAGGTTTGAAAAGCTTTAGGAGCTATCAGACTCATTAATATTGAGCCTAGCTCTTCATCTGGGGTATTTTCCAAAGTTTATGGAAGAGGATTTAAGAAGCCTTCCATCAATAAACAGGAAATTTTAAAATCTTTAAAGCTACAGACAGGGCAGGTTAGGAACACGGACACGAAACTGGAGACATTCACCTCCATTCTGCTGACTCAAATATAGGCAGGACGAGAAACATCTGCAATTCCACTCTGATGTAAACAGCAATCTACCTCGGGACAAAGAGTTTACATCTGCCAGCCACAGAGCCGGATCAAAGCCAAGAGATGCTTCTTGAATCTTTACACCAACACTCGAGACGCACTTTTCCTCTACCGTTTGAATCCACCCAACACCTGCTGGATGGACAAACAGGCACACTGCAGTTAACTCACTTGCTAAAGGAATAATGCTGACACCAGACCTGTTACCTTTTGGTTTATCTAAAACATTATTCCTCTTCCAGAAATAGTTGAACTAGCATTGAAACTACCTTAGGAATTTTCAAAGTGAGTTTTCACTGAACAGATTAACCCACCGTTCATTCCATTGTATATACTTCTGTGGTGAGGTGACAGGTCATCTGTTACTTGTCTCCTGAGGGTACCTTCTCTGCTGCCTCCACTGAGATGTTTGAGATGCTCTGGGCTCCCTCCATAGTGTTGTTTGAGATGCTCAGGGCTCGTACCCCTCACTTTGTGGAGATGTTCTGTACTTCCACTTGGTGTGTGCTTTTGAAGATGATCTGGGCTGCCGCTGCTGTGCTTTTGATGCTCAGGGCTACTACCAGGCCTCTGCTTTTGAAAGTGTTCAGGGCTACTACTCAAAACGTGCTTTGGGAGAGTTTCTGGGCTGCTGCTGATGTGCTTTTGTTGTTCAGGTGCTTTGACAATGGTTTTGTGATGTTCTGGACTTGGTCCTTTCAGGTGATGATCAGGGCTGCCAGAACTCCTGGGTTTCTGGAGGTGCTCTGGGCTGATGCTCCTGTGTTTCTGATGCTCAGGGCTTCCTTCACCCCGAGGTTTTTGAAGATGTTCTGGACTAGTACTTGGATGATGTTTATGATGGTCTGGACTGTCGGTACTCCCCGTGCTAGAAGTACTACTCCCATCACCGACATCTCTTACGTAAGTACTCGTCGTGGTTAACTGGCACAGGCTGATTTGGCTGTCGATAGAGCTCCGGCTGCCTGCTCCACCACTTTTCTCCTCATCCAGCAACACACACAATTCTTTCAGCTCCAGGTTTTCCTTAACCACTTCTTCTTGTCTCACTTCCAGTTCTTTCAGCTTCTGTAAGTATAAGGCAACCTCTTTGTGCATAACACTAGCACTGTATCTGCCCAGTCTCTGCCATTCACGGGACACCTTCTTGCCTTTCTGCCTGTCATCATCCAGAAAGCAGCAGAGGTCTCTCAGTTCTTGGTTATCTTCTTGCAGTTTCTGGTTGATATCCTTTAAAAGAAAGACAACCATGACAGAGAAGTGTCTAGAAGAATTAACATTATACCATTACCATTATACAAGCCAGTGAGCAGCACCGCTATAAGCCCATCATCTAAGCACCCACGTGGGACATAAATAATTGTGTGTAGATCTGGCATACTATAACAGCATCATGCTCCAAGCAAGCAAAACCGCTGCCCAGCAGAGAGTAACTATAATGTGGAGCTAATCTGGAAGGGTTCAAAGACTAACTCCTGATACAGCATAAAAGTTTCAGGTGCTTAATTGTTCTTCATGCTAAATACCAGAACAATTTAGCTCCTAAACTGAACAAAGATCATCAGCTCTCTCACGATGACCTCACTCCTTTGAGAAATGTTCACCTGACAGTCACTGCTGAATAAAACTGCAAGGTACATCAGAAATCTCACTTAAATAATTAGTTATTAACATTTATACTCTCTATTTCCTAAAGCATATTCACATAAAAAGACGAACTTTTTAGAGATTTAAAATATTTGGGTTTTGTTTGATTTTGTTTCACACTTGCATAAAACAATCTTGTCAGCCATCATTTAATCAGAATTGCTTCAACCACTCTGAAATGAAATAATCTGCTTTAATAGATTTTTCCCTCTTAACAAAATGAAGTACACGATTCCGCGCCCTTCTCTGAGTGAGGAACAGTCTGAAGCAAAAATGTTCAAGCTATTACTATAGTAGAATCATATGCCAAAGAAAACATTTTCAGTATTTTCGTCCTCCTAGTTTTACTGAAGTCGCTTGTGACCATATTTATCTTTCTCCCATCTAAATATTCATTTCTTCATATGTATGATATTAGAAGCAGAGACTAGCCACAATTAAAAATGTAGCCTTATGGAAAGACCATTTTAGCACTGTTTCTCAAGCAAAGGAAGTTTCTGAAGTTTCTGTAACTCCATCGGATTTGTGTGCATGCATGCATTTGATCTTTGTCTCAAAATAACTTTGAACTTGACCAGATTCAACTCATATTTGACAAAGGAGAAATCTCAATGAGGCTATAAGGTATTCTTAAAAATCTGCGATGAGGAGAGAGATTTAAAATGACCCCTTGGTGGAAAAGAAAAGTTGTGGAAGCCCATAATTCCTTAGTCAGAAGCAGTGGGCACCCATCCACACCTGGCTGTTATTACTCATGGGCCAGTTATTTCACAGAGGACAAAGGAGGTAGATGTCCAGACACCAACGCAGGGCTCAAAACCTTGTTCTCCCAAATTCCTTTTAAAAATTCCAGCTGAGGCCTCTGAACAAAAGGCGGAAGTTAAACATCACTTAAGGAGTTCAGAACTGAGAGAGGAATTGGTCACTGTTTCCTACGCATCTTGGCGTGTTTTGTTACTTAGCTGGAAGATGCATAAATCCATATGACATCACAACACCTGGAAGAAAGATACTGTTGTGGTAATTTAACTTATATTTTAAATGTAAGCTTTATTTTTACAAAAGTACTATCATTGATGGGTCTTTTTCACCCCCAGACACCAGATACCAAAAAGAGGGAGGGGACGGACACACATGCATGCTTTGCAGACTGGAAAACTTGGGAGACAGGAACAGTCTTTCCCCACATGCTATTTATTTTATGCCACGCTATTACCAAAGACACTTTCTCAGTAATTTAGTTGTTTAAAGCCATTCTACAAGTCAAGAACTCTCTTGTAATGTACTCTCACGTAACTATTCAAAAGCCCACACTGCACCTCTCTCTCCTTCCCTCCAACCTCACCTCACAGAAGGAATTTCCTAAAAAAACAACGTCATTTCTCAAAGCAACAAGACAGAAAACGTTTTGCAGCCATGTCTACTTTAAGATAACTTTCTAGGTCTGTAATACACGTGTACATGCTCCATCAGGGTAATTATCTGTAAATAGTCACGTTATCTTCCCAATCCTTGGAACTGGCAAGGAAACATGAGAGATTATGCTTCTCGTCCAAAAAAAACAGAGTTAAATTAAAAAGGGCCAAATCATTACAGACTTGGTCTGCCTCTCACTGTAGTCTGCAGCAGTATACAATCAAAAATGGTTTGATCAGAGATGCGTTATCAGATGTCTTTTTCAGATAATAAACTACAGATCGACTCTGATCATCCCAAAACCAAGCCCAGGGGTTTTCTGTCACTGGCCATACGCTGCACTGCCTCCTGGAAACGACCAACTCTCTCCAGTAGCCTACCAGACTGTCTGACAGACAAGCAAGTCGTCTTAAAATAGTGACAGAAAACAGTATAAGCTACACAAAACCTTTTGAACGTCTACAGCTCTGCACACTATTCTTTCACGTGCACTTTGGACAGGATCATTTAGCCTTGCTAGAAACCAGTGAAATCTAGTCTTAAGGGTTTTCATCAACCCAAAGCATATTAGGGCAGAGCATACAACAACCGTGCTCTACAGCCGGCCGAATAGTCGGTCATCTCTTAACCGGACATTCGACTTTTAAGCGGGATCGAGCGCTATTCACTCCAGTCCTCGTCCACTTTTCACGCCATCCTCGGTGACGGCTCCTCCCAGCCCATCCACCTGATGAGATCGCTCCCGGCGGGACGGGCGGGGGCCGCGGAGCCAAAAAAACTCCCCCCCTGCCCCCCCCTCTCCCTTCAAGCCGCGGATCTCGCCGAGGTGGAGCTGGAGGCGGCGGTTCACCTCGCGGATGAGGTTGCTGTGGTCCAGCATCGCGCTCATCTTCTCGGCCTCGGCGCGGCGGAGGCTGCGGATCAGCTCCTCCTTGCTCCACTTGAGCAGCTCCTCGTCCGACACCTTGGACAAGTCCTCG